AAAGGGGGCGGCATAGTTATATTAAATCGAGAAGATTACATGCAAGAATCTATGCGAATTCTGGGAGATAATACTACATATAGGATTTTAAATGGAAATCCTATAGAAAATTTTAAAAAACAGTTTTCGGAATTATTAAATAAAGGCTTCGAAAATAAAGTAATAAATAAAGATGAATTAGATTACCTTTTTGTAAAATCTCCAAGAATGGCAGTTTTTTATTATCTGCCAAAGATTCATAAGAGATTGGAAAATCCCCCGGGAAGGCCAATAATTAGTGGTATTGGATCTCTAACCAGTAATATTTCTCAATATGTTGATTTTTTTCTGCAACAGTTTGTTACCAAAACTCCATCTTATGTTAAAGACTCTGCACAAATAATATCAGAACTTGAGAATTTCGATTGGCAAAATGATTTTTTATGGGCAACAGTTGATGTTGCCTCCTTGTATACGGTTATTGATCATTCCAAAGGTATACAAGCAGTAAAAGAAGTTCTTTATGAAAATCAAAGTATGAACAATTTACAAGCAGATTTTATACTGGACGCCATTGAATTTATTCTCTATCACAACTTTTTTTGGTTTAACGATAAATATTATCTCCAAACTTGTGGTACAGCCATGGGCACCAGGTTTGCGCCGAGTTACGCAAACATTTTTGTCGCGAATTGGGAAATGAAGAACATTTGGAAAAATAATCCCTTCGGCGCAAACCTGGTGCTATGGAGACGTTATATAGATGATGTTCTTATTATATGGAAGGGACCAAGAACTCTCTTAGAAGATTTTTTAAAATATATTAATTCTAACTCTTATAATCTGGTTTTTACAGCAGAAATTAACACATTGAATATTAATTTTTTAGATTTAACTTTTTTTATTAAGGACGGACGAGTACAAAGTAAAGCTTTTTTTAAACCCACTGATGGTAACAGTTTTATTGAGTTTTCTAGTTGCCATCACCCAAACTGGCTTAGAAATATACCCAAAGGACAACAAATGAGAATATATAGGAATTGTACTGAAAAAGGTGACTTTGAAAATCAAGTAGGGATTTTAAATAAGAAATTTAAAAACAGGAATTATCCGACAAACTTGGTTTATGAATCACAAAAACAAGTAGAAAAATATAATAGGAAGGATCTCTTAAAAGGAAAAAAGAAGAAAGAAGGAAACAAAGATTTTAATACAGCCTTCATAACGAAATATAATAATAAGGCACACCAAATTGAAAAAATAATCATGAAATACTGGCCTATTTTAAACCAAGATGAATTTTTAAAAAATGTTTTACCTAAAAAGCCTCGGATAATATATAAAAAACCTGAGAATTTAAAATCTATTTTAGCTCCTAGTGTTCTACCAGGGATTAAGAGCAATAGTGAATTAGATAATTCAAAAAGTAATTTTTTGAGAGAAAAACCAAAAGGATTTTATAAGTGCGGCAGATGCAGCACTTGTAAATACCAATCGTATAAAACACTTGATTTTAAGAGCACCATTACAGGGGAGTCTTTTATTATTAAACATTTTATAAATTGTCAAAGTAAACATGTTATCTATCTGCTACAGTGTAAATGTGGCATACAATATATAGGCCGCACAATAAGAACATTGCACATAAGATTGTTGGAACATTTTGGTGGAATTAGAAGAAAAAGTATAAAACATAGTGTACCAAGACACTGTAATAACTGTAAAGATTTTAAAATAGAAAATTTTTGCTGTATCGGTATTGACCGGGTCAGCCCCCATTGGAGAGGTGGAGACATTGAAAAACGTCTGGCTATGAAAGAAACAGAATGGATCTATAAATTAAAAACTTCTGTTCCAGACGGTCTTAATACAGATTTGGATATTTTAGTATTTATGGACTAATTCCACCAAGATGACATGTTTTTTACATTTATTCTGATTTTAATGGCACATTGGTTTATATTTGATTATATATATTTTATATTTTATACTGACTATATGATCGACTGGAAAATTATTAACTTGTTTTTTCTCTCTTGTTTATTCCTTTCTTTTTCTATTTATTGAATATTCGTCCTCTATTGAGTTATTTCTAATTTGAATTTTTTAGTATTTTTAATATCCTCAACAGAATTTTGTTGTTTTGGAGAGCCATATTAGTTTAAAACGACTTTAAAACTGTTTAATACTATGGTATTTTATGATGATGTTCTTATCATTATGTATTTTTAGAATTATGCCCTTGTAAAATTAGGTTCTGTTCAAAATTATGTCCTGTCTAAAATTATGCTCTGCCTAAAATACTGGCTTGTCTGAATTATGTCAGTTTAAAACATCTTTAAAACATCTATATATCATTATGATTACTGTTATATATATATGAATTGAAATTATTCTGATTTAATGTAATATGTTGGATTCACATATTACTTCTACATGCATATAAGCACATATATACATATATATATATCTCTCTTTTTCGTTTTATTTATTGCTTTATATATTCATTTTTATATTTAAGTTATATTCATTCACATCATATGATATCTTCTCTATATATGCATTCAACATATAATAGCATCGGAACACACTGGTTTCATTTTTGACAAGTCCCAGTGTTGTTAGTGTTGCTTAGATTAATAAAGTTTTTTGCATGCGTTCCACGGTGGAACGCACATGCACGTCGGACGCCGGCGAATGGTATGTCATCACGCCGGCGCCCGCGCGCATGCGCAATTGCACAGAAAGAACGCCGCCCGGCATATTTAAACGCCGGTTAGAGAAGATTATGGATCGCTCCTGAGGAAGTCTGATTGAGAACAGACGAAACGCGTTGAGCAAACCCGGGAATTGGATCAGCTGATGGTGAACGGTTTCATCTGTCTCTGCTACAGCCTTTACACAGACGCCTACAGACTGCTAAGACCGGGAGATTTAGCCTATTATAGGCATCAGCACTTTAGCACATATTGATTTTATCAATTGTGCCACACCGTTTGTGAGTGTTTTTATTTATATGTTTTTTACCATTTTGGATTAAAAGTTTGCACTATGATGTTTTCTCTTTTTATATCTTTTATGTGAATATCCTCATCTGCTCGTTGGTGGGTAACTATATTCAGTTTGTATATCTGGTGATAAGTGGCGCCCTATTTCTGTATAGTATATACAGCTCTGTTTTTTTTGCACATTTGGTTAAGGGATACAGGGAGTGCATCCCCATATATAGTGGCTTGCCTGCACTTCCTAAACGGTCAGTTCTTTTCACCATCCACTCTCCGCTTTATGTATCTGTTATACTGTTTCTAGTATAATTTCTGCACTCCTAAGGATATTGAGAGACTGGTCCGTATTTGAGAATCTGATTGTATTTATTTAAGAATATTATAAATATGGCTTATTGTAGATTAATGAACACTACTATTAGAGAAGCAAGAAATAAAAAATTTGAAAATTTGTTCTCTAGGAAAGAGATAAGCCAAGTCCCAAATAAGACTTTCTTGTTTCAGAGATTAGAAAGACTTGCTGAAAAAGAAGTAAAAAAATGGTGGGAGATAAAATATCTACAACAGTATATCCAACTTGGGATTATACCAAGAGGATTAAGGTTAGAAAAGCAACCTGCTTTTGGTAAAGAAAATGAGAATTTCATGTCAGAATGGAATAAAACTCTTGATAAATGCTCCTTGCAATTAATGGAAATTTTGGTTAAATACCAACAAGAAGCAATGAGTCAAGTAGAAAATGAGTTAAAACAGATTGAAACTGAAATTAATGTAGAATATAATGAGGAACAAATTAAAGAAAATACTATACAACTTAATGAAAAAATTGAGAAATTAGAAGAGAAAATTGTAATTACAAAAGAAGGCAAACTAAATAGAGATAAAGATGATTATAAAAATGGTAAACAAAGAAATTGGAAAAATAAGACCTATAAGTTTAATAAATTTTATACAGAGAGAAAACCATTTTCTAATAACAAGAAAGGAGAGAGAAATGAAATTAATAAATATGATAATATAAGGTTCATCCCCAAAGAACAGAAAAGAGAACAGAAAAGGGATGAAACGAGTGTCAGACGAAAAGAATATTCGACATATACTGAAAAATATGATTCAAGGCGGAATTTTAGAAATAGCCCTACCCAAAAGAGAGATTTTTTAGGGAAAGGTATACGGGACAAAGGCCAGACAATGTGGAAAGAAAAAGAAAACGTATGGTCTCACAAGAATCGTTTTGCTCCACTTCAGAACACCCATACCCCCACAAAGAAAAGAAAGCTTTTGGGAGCAATAGGAGGAATAGAGGAATTAGAGGAGGACGAAATATCAGATTAAATAAGGATACAGGCGATGAGGGCATTTTTAATCTTTCCAGCCAAATTTTAAGTAAAGAACAGTTGAGATTATTAAATAAAGGGTTGAAATTTGCCCCACAAAGAGGTCCCAATTCATTTGAATTATTTATAGATTCTCAGAAATTTCTAAGAAAGTTGACTTTAAAACGTTTCTTCGAAAAAAAGAAAAAAAGTAGTGATATGGGAAGTTTGGGAATAACTAATATAGGAAAAAACATAGAATCTAATCAAGATGATAATCTAATAACACATACAAATTTGAAACATAGATCTAAATTTTTTCCCACGTGGGAAAAAGGAGATTTTATACCAGTTTTTAGTAGTATGATCTCATCAGAATTCGAAAAATTAACGAGAAATGATGGGAAAGAAAATCTTTCTAAAAAAGAAAAAATGGCATTGAAACAATTAAAAAATGACCCCAATCTAGTAATCAAACAGGCCGATAAAGGGGGCGGCATAGTTATATTAAATCGAGAAGATTACATGCAAGAATCTATGCGAATTCTGGGAGATAATACTACATATAGGATTTTAAATGGAAATCCTATAGAAAATTTTAAAAAACAGTTTTCGGAATTATTAAATAAAGGCTTCGAAAATAAAGTAATAAATAAAGATGAATTAGATTACCTTTTTGTAAAATCTCCAAGAATGGCAGTTTTTTTATTATCTGCCAAAGATTCATAAGAGATTGGAAAATCCCCCGGGAAGGCCAATAATTAGTGGTATTGGATCTCTAACCAGTAATATTTCTCAATATGTTGATTTTTTTCTGCAACAGTTTGTTACCAAAACTCCATCTTATGTTAAAGACTCTGCACAAATAATATCAGAACTTGAGAATTTCGATTGGCAAAATGATTTTTTATGGGCAACAGTTGATGTTGCCTCCTTGTATACGGTTATTGATCATTCCAAAGGTATACAAGCAGTAAAAGAAGTTCTTTATGAAAATCAAAGTATGAACAATTTACAAGCAGATTTTATACTGGACGCCATTGAATTTATTCTCTATCACAACTTTTTTTGGTTTAACGATAAATATTATCTCCAAACTTGTGGTACAGCCATGGGCACCAGGTTTGCGCCGAGTTACGCAAACATTTTTTTCGCGAATTGGGAAATGAAGAACATTTGGAAAAATAATCCCTTCGGCGCAAACCTGGTGCTATGGAGACGTTATATAGATGATGTTCTTATTATATGGAAGGGACCAAGAACTCTCTTAGAAGATTTTTTAAAATATATTAATTCTAACTCTTATAATCTGGTTTTTACAGCAGAAATTAACACATTGAATATTAATTTTTTAGATTTAACTTTTTTTATTAAGGACGGACGAGTACAAAGTAAAGCTTTTTTTAAACCCACTGATGGTAACAGTTTTATTGAGTTTTCTAGTTGCCATCACCCAAACTGGCTTAGAAATATACCCAAAGGACAACAAATGAGAATATATAGGAATTGTACTGAAAAAGGTGACTTTGAAAATCAAGTAGGGATTTTAAATAAGAAATTTAAAAACAGGAATTATCCGACAAACTTGGTTTATGAATCACAAAAACAAGTAGAAAAATATAATAGGAAGGATCTCTTAAAAGGAAAAAAGAAGAAAGAAGGAAACAAAGATTTTAATACAGCCTTCATAACGAAATATAATAATAAGGCACACCAAATTGAAAAAATAATCATGAAATACTGGCCTATTTTAAACCAAGATGAATTTTTAAAAAATGTTTTACCTAAAAAGCCTCGGATAATATATAAAAAACCTGAGAATTTAAAATCTATTTTAGCTCCTAGTGTTCTACCAGGGATTAAGAGCAATAGTGAATTAGATAATTCAAAAAGTAATTTTTTGAGAGAAAAACCAAAAGGATTTTATAAGTGCGGCAGATGCAGCACTTGTAAATACCAATCGTATAAAACACTTGATTTTAAGAGCACCATTACAGGGGAGTCTTTTATTATTAAACATTTTATAAATTGTCAAAGTAAACATGTTATCTATCTGCTACAGTGTAAATGTGGCATACAATATATAGGCCGCACAATAAGAACATTGCACATAAGATTGTTGGAACATTTTGGTGGAATTAGAAGAAAAAGTATAAAACATAGTGTACCAAGACACTGTAATAACTGTAAAGATTTTAAAATAGAAAATTTTTGCTGTATCGGTATTGACCGGGTCAGCCCCCATTGGAGAGGTGGAGACATAGAAAAACGTCTGGCTATGAAAGAAACAGAATGGATCTATAAATTAAAAACTTCTGTTCCAGACGGTCTTAATACAGATTTGGATATTTTAGTATTTATGGACTAATTCCACCAAGATGACATGTTTTTTACATTTATTCTGATTTTAATGGCACATTGGTTTATATTTGATTATATATATTTTATATTTTATACTGACTATATGATCGACTGGAAAATTATTAACTTGTTTTTTCTCTCTTGTTTATTCCTTTCTTTTTCTATTTATTGAATATTCGTCCTCTATTGAGTTATTTCTAATTTGAATTTTTTTGTATTTTTAATATCCTCAACAGAATTTTGTTGTTTTGGAGAGCCATATTAGTTTAAAACGACTTTAAAACTGTTTAATACTATGGTATTTTATGATGATGTTCTTATCATTATGTATTTTTAGAATTATGCCCTTGTAAAATTAGGTTCTGTTCAAAATTATGTCCTGTCTAAAATTATGCTCTGCCTAAAATACTGGCTTGTCTGAATTATGTCAGTTTAAAACATCTTTAAAACATCTATATATCATTATGATTACTGTTATATATATATGAATTGAAATTATTCTGATTTAATGTAATATGTTGGATTCACATATTACTTCTACATGCATATAAGCACATATATACATATATATATATCTCTCTTTTTCGTTTTATTTATTGCTTTATATATTCATTTTTATATTTAAGTTATATTCATTCACATCATATGATATCTTCTCTATATATGCATTCAACATATAATAGCATCGGAACACACTGGTTTCATTTTTGACAAGTCCCAGTGTTGTTAGTGTTGCTTAGATTAATAAAGTTTTTTGCATGCGTTCCACGGTGGAACGCACATGCACGTCGGACGCCGGCGAATGGTATGTCATCACGCCGGCGCCCGCGCGCATGCGCAATTGCACAGAAAGAACGCCGCCCGGCATATTTAAACGCCGGTTAGAGAAGATTATGGATCGCTCCTGAGGAAGTCTGATTGAGAACAGACGAAACGCGTTGAGCAAACCCGGGAATTGGATCAGCTGATGGTGAACGGTTTCATCTGTCTCTGCTACAGCCTTTACACAGACGCCTACAGACTGCTAAGACCGGGAGATTTAGCCTATTATAGGCATCAGCACTTTAGCACATATTGATTTTATCAATTGTGCCACACCGTTTGTGAGTGTTTTTATTTATATGTTTTTTACCATTTTGGATTAAAAGTTTGCACTATGATGTTTTCTCTTTTTATATCTTTTATGTGAATATCCTCATCTGCTCGTTGGTGGGTAACTATATTCAGTTTGTATATCTGGTGATAAGTGGCGCCCTATTTCTGTATAGTATATACAGCTCTGTTTTTTTTGCACATTTGGTTAAGGGATACAGGGAGTGCATCCCCATATATAGTGGCTTGCCTGCACTTCCTAAACGGTCAGTTCTTTTCACCATCCACTCTCCGCTTTATGTATCAGTATAAACAGAGATTGTTCTGCAATACCAACGCCGGCCAGTAGGGGTCGCTGTTTGTGTGGAGAGAGACAGTGATAAGAAGTTACAGCATCTCCCTACCTGCCTCTCTCTACTCACTGAGAGTCCAGACAGCAGCTCAGAGACATGGGGAAGCTGAGACATTGGGACACTGGGGAACATGGGGAACATGGGGACCCTGAGACACTAGGGACACAGTGGCTCCATGTCTCTCAGTGGCCCCTAGTCTGTGTCCCCATGTCTCACAGCCACTGTCCCTAGTGTTTCAGTGGCCCCATGTCTCCAGTGTCCCCATGTCTCTAAGTGTCCCCTAGTGTCTTAGTGACATCAGGACACTGGGAGACATGGGGACACAGACTCTAAGGGACACTGGGAGACATGAGGATACAAACATCAGGGGACACTGGGCAACATGGGGACACTGAGACACTAGGGTACACTGAGAGACATGGAGGCACTGGGGGACACAGGGAGACATGGGGACACTGGGCGACTTTGAGACCTAGGAAACATGGGGCACTCCCAGTGTCCCCATGTCTCCCAACCAGTGTCCATAGTATCTCAGTATCCCCATGTGTCCCTGGTGTCTCTCAGTGTCTGTAGTGTGCCAGTGTCCCTAGTGTCTCAGTGTTTCCTAGTCTCCCAAAGTCCCTTAGTCTCCCAATGTCTCCCAGTGTCCCCATGTCTCCTAGTGTCTCAGTGTCCCCTAGTTTAAAAGAAAAAATCTCAGGCACTCACAGTGATAGATTTAGGCAGGTTTATTGGACACTGCAACGTTTCAACCTGTACCCAGATCTTTATCAAGTCTCCAATGTCCCTTATGTATCAGTGTACCCTATGTATCAGACTATCTCAGTGACTGTCTCAGTGCCTCATGTCTCTCAGTGCCCCATGTTTCTCTGCCCGTAGTGTCTCTGTGCACGTAGTGCCTCAGTGTCCCCTCGTATAAAAGAAAAAAATTTCAGGCACTCACTGTGATAGATTTAGCCAGGTTTATTGGACACTGCAACATTTTGACCTGTACCCAGGTCTTTATCAAGTCTCCAGTGCCCCCTATATCACAGTGTCTCAGTGCCCCATGTCTCCCAGTGTCCCCATGTCTCCCAGTGTCCCCATGTCTCCCAGTGTCCCCAGGTCTCCCAGTGTTCCCTAGTATCTGTGCCCCCATGTCTCCCAGTGTCCCCATGTCTCTCAATGTCCCCTAGAGTCCTAGTGACATGGGGACACTGTGAGACATGGGGACACAGACACTAGAGGACTGGGAGACATGGGGACACATGTGTATGTTCACCCTTTCGGCCGTTCTGGTTATGTGATTTGTGTCAGTGGGGATATGTGTTTTCTCATAGTTGCATCCTATGAGTTTCCCTCCAGCACCATCTCCATCAGATACATGGCACTTAGGAGGTAGGACTGTTTTAGTGTTTTTGGTCAATAAGATTTTGTAATTAGGCCCATCATAATTATCAGCACCAGGCCCACTGGGCTCTTAATCCGGCCCTGTGCTCATGCCATTGTACAGAACACTGGTGAGACCTCATTTGGAGTATTGTACACAGTACTGGAGACCGTATCTTCAGAAGGATATTGATACCTTAGAGAGGGTTCAGAGAAGGGCTACTAAACTGGTTCATGGATTGCCGGATAAAATTTACCAGGAAAGGTTAAAGGATCTTAACATGTATAGCTTGAAGGAAAGACGAGACAGGGGGGATATGATAGAAACATTTAAATATATAAAGGGAATCAACACAGTAAAGGAGGAGACTATATTTAAAAGAAGAAAAACTACCACAACAAGAGGACATAGTCTTAAATTAGAGGGACAAAGGTTTAAAAATAATATCAGGAAGTATTACTTTACTGAGAGGGTAGTGGATGCATGGAATAGCCTTCCAGCTGAAGTGGTAGAGGGTAACACAGTAAAGGAGTTTAAGCATGCGTGGGATAGGCATAAGGCTATCCTAGCTATAAGATAAGACTAGGGACTAATGAAAGTATTTAGAAAATTGGGCAGACTAGATGGGACGAATGGTTCTTATCTGCCGTCACATTCTATGTTTCTATGTTTCTATCTTTCTACCCCCCTACAGCTCCCCTGCCCCCTCTACTCTACCCTACAGACCATAAAATCACTGCACCCCCTACAGTACCTTAATCTCCTACAGCCCTCTACCCCCAACAGCTCTTAAAATCCCTGCATCCACTACAGACACTGTACCCTCTGCAGCCATTCTAACCTCTCTACCCCTACAGCTCCTTTGCCCCTGCAGCCATTCTAACCCATGCAGGCCCTATGACCCCTCTACCTCCTATAGCCCTTCTAACCCCTGCAGCCCCTATGACCCCTCTACCTACTATAGCCCTTCTAACTCCTGCAGCCCCTCTACCCCCTGCAGCTCCTCTACACCCTGCAGCTACTCTGCCACTTGCAGCCCCTCTGCTACTTGCAGCCCCTCTACCCCCTGCAGACATTCTAATCCCTGCAGCCCCTATAACTCATCTAACCCCTACAACTCCACTGCCCCCTGCAGCCCCACTACTCCCTACAGCCCTTTTAAGCACTATTTTGAAAGTTTGCAAACTCCATCTGACACTGATTGCAAGTTACACATATTCACTAAATATCCATTTTAGGCAAAAGAAAAAACTTTAGCGCACCTTTTATATATTTTATTTGTTGTATTAGGAGAGCTGTAGAGCTTTTACACACTATAAAGGTACAGCTCCACTATTATTACATTTATCTTTTTTATTTTATTCTGTAGTACCGCCATTTATTCACTTGCTTTGTATTTTTATAACATAAGTCACTGCAATAGTAGGTGCTGAAGTATAAAAGCTTGCTGCCTCATCCGATACCACAGATTGGCCTCCACAGGTAATACATTGCAACGCCGGAGATTGCTTCACCTCTCGTCCCATCCAAGTAGTTGTAGCAAGCATCATGTGTATGCCACGAGATCCACTTGGTTTGCTGGGCTTTTTTGTCACCTTGACCTTGCGCCATAGAGGGAGCCATTGCCTCTTGTCTAGGGGTCTTCTCCAGCCGCATGGTAGGGCCTTGGGTCCGCAAGGGCTCCAAGATTCGATGCCTCCATTGAGAGTGTGGGTGGCTGGGTGTATGTGGCTCCACTCAAGCTCCCAGCCTAGAAGATTTGTTGCGATCTGGGGCAGCTACAGGAGTCTGTGATGTCACAGGTGAGTGAGGAGTATATGAGTGGCATAATAGTCGGTACCAAAATTCTTGGCAAAGCTTTGAAGCTCTCAATCCAATTCTGGCCATCAAGGCCCGCTTGCAGTAAGGATTGTTTTGGTGTGGCCATCATTGATTTGCACGCGGTCGCTGCAGGGGCACAGATAAAGGCAGTGGTTTCAGTGAGGCAAGTGTGCCCATTGGTAGACTGGGATATCCCCCCACGGTCCAGAGGGGGATTGCGGGGCCAAGAATACGCACTCTGGGAGGTTTGGTACCAGGCGGGAGATCGACCGCTTCTCCCAGCCAGTGGGTCGGCACCTCGGGTAGGCCGCAAGACTGGACAGCAAAGTGTTATGCTGCATTTTTTCAGAGCCCAGAGAGGCCACTTCAATGTAGCAACATGCTTAGTTTGAATTTGGGCTGTCATCAACAGCGTTTTTGCATTTAATGTCGATATAGGGCTTATAATATCCGGAGCTCCTAGAGAATACATCAGGCCCTGCCCCCCATTAACAATTTTTGCACTGTGGCAGGGTGTATTATCCTGATGAAAGAGGTCACTGCCATAAGGGAACACCATTGCCATTCACCTAATCTAAAAGAAAACATGATTCATCAGACCAGGCAACCTTCTTCCATCGCTCCATGCTCCAGTTCTCATGCTCAAGTCCACCCACTTTTAGCGGTGGACTTTTGTGTTCTGACACTTTTCTATCATAGCAGCATTACATTTTTCATCAAATTGAGCTACAGTAGCTCTTGTAATATGACCTAGCCTTTGCTCCACATGTGCATTAAAGGACCACTATAGGCACCCAGACCACTTCAGCTCAATGAAGTGGTTTGGGTGCCAGGTCCCCCTAGTTTTAATCCTGCAGCTGTAAACATACGTCGAAGCTGATGTCGGCTGGGGGAGGAGAGGTCACCAGCGCTGAGGGAGTCCGGAACTGGATTAAGGTAAGTGGCTGAAGGGGGGGACCTAATAACCCTATAGTGCCATGAAAAAGAGTTTGTTTTCCTGGCACTATAGTGCTCCTTTAATGAGCCTTGGTGCCTATAACACTGGTTGTTCTTCCTTGCACCACTTTTGGTAGGTGATTTGCTGTTTTGGATATACTCTGACCCAGTCATCTTGCCATCACTAGTTGGCCCTTGTCAAAGTCACTCAGATCTTTATGCTTGCTCATTTGTCCTGCTTCCAATACATAAAATTCAAGAAGTGACTGTTCACTTGCTTCTAATATATCCCACCCCTTGACAAGTGCCATTGTAACAAAATAATTAATGTTATTCACTTCACCTGTCAGTAGAGTTAATGTAATGGCTGAACAGAGTACTTTGATGTAGTGATTTTGGATTATGTGACTGCCATTAACATTACAATCTCAGCAAACCAAATATTGTACATTTTTACCTTTAAAACCATAATTCTCTCCTTGCAATATTTACTCCTTAACATCCACAAAATAATTAAAATTCTGGACATATGAGAACATTTAGGACTAATAAGTGGATAAAGTATGAGATATATGTTTTTAGTTACACTAGTTGTGTATTTATTATTAAAACGTGTTTCACATATTTTAAAACTGTATTCATACATAATACTGTGCTATGCATACATATAGAATATCAGAAGAAAGGTGTCACTGTCCTTTAAAGAACAATATATAATATGTATGTGGGCACTTTTAATGGGACAAATACATATCTATGGTGCTAAAAAGGCCCTAGCCTTTACTAAAGGAGTGACTTTCATGGTTGAATATATTTACTCAATGGAATTGAAATATATATCTCTAGAAGTTAAACCAGCAACACATTGCATGCTGTGCCAAACAACAGCTCCTTTATCTCCTCTGGTAATATCGCTTAGACCAAGGGTAGGCAACCTACGGCACTAGTGCCATGCACAGCACTCGAGGTGACTTTGCATGGCACTCAAGGCTGCTAGAGCCAAACAGGCTCTGTCCTATCAGGAGTCCTAGTGAAACTTCAGATATCTGCTAATACAAAGAAGTGGTGAAGGACAATCCTCAATTTATTCATTGCAGCACATAGAGGAAGTGATCTCAGATCACTTCCTCTCAGCACTTGTGAATGGAAATCCACGCTGTAGTAGAGCAGCTTGCAGCTGCTATTGCAGCTCCTATACTTGAGCTATACCTGGCCAGCCTGGTCCCCACTGGATCCTAGGGAAGCCACCCATACTGCTAGATATACACAGAAATAATATGAACAGCCCATACACAAACATACACACAATACCAACAAACGCAACACCACTAACTAACCACATACATGCACACAACCCCGCATGCAGCATCTCACATGCAATACCCCAAACAGCCCCCACACACTACCAAACACACAAGGTGACATTTCCATCCACACACAATTCCACAAGCAGCCCTCATACACAGCCCACATTCATAGGTATCATACACGATACCATAAAGTACTAATGAACATATACAATATAATAGCTCCTATACGCACAAATACAACGATACAAAGCAATTACAGTAAAAATAACACAAGCAGAATACGGCAACATACACACCTCAATTTAAAAAAATAGGATTGGCACGCTAAGGGACATCACAATGCTATATCGGCACAGTGCTGCTAAAAGGTTGTCTACTCAGTTGCCCCTTCTCCAAAATATCATATAAACTCAAATCTAATGCACACCTTAGATTAGATTCTATGGTGAATTATATTTGAGTACTAATGGCACATTAGATTCAAGTACGATTTCAGTACTAACAAAAAAGGAAAGCACATTACATGTGTACTACTCTCTTGCTTACCTAGTTGCTCCTCACTTTACGACCTACGGTCGCAGATACTGGCATCTCATTGCAGGGCACTGGGGACACTCCTACTAACTTTCAGCTTGTCCCTAGCTATTCTCGCGCCAGCCTGAATAAACCCACCTCCTTTTATGACGCGGCTAATGAGTGTCATGGCGCTAAGAACGCCACAGCCCGCCAAGGTGTTTGAACAAGAACATTTTGGGGGCGTGGTTACCTACCTAAGTGAACACGGTATTTAAAGAGAAAACAGGGAGAGACTCATTGCCCTGTTGTGGTTCTTGTTTGACCCTAGAGCGCGTATTCCCTATTGGTATTCTTGTATTCTGACTTTGGCTTTGTTTGACTATTCCTCCTTCTCTGTTCCCTTGTCCCCTATTGTCCCCTATTGTCCCCTTTGTCCCGGCTATTGCATTATCGTTGATCTTGATTTCTGGTACCCCTGACGTTGGCTCAATATTTGACTATTCCTTGTGTGTGTAGTGCTAGTCCAGCCATTCTAAGGTCCGGTATACATTACTAGTATTTGCATTCTACGTGTAGGATCCCCGAACGTTCCTGATAGCAGTCTACTAAATGATCCAAAAACAAAATACTGGCCCATCAAAACCATCTATGAAAATTGGCACGTCTCTTTTACAGCACTGTAGCTTAGTATCTATAGTATCTATGTCATACATTGGGCATATTATTTTACTCAGAAGAGGTAACTGACCATAATTTGGGGGAATTTATGACAGTGGCACATATCAAATGTATGAAATACCAAGCAAAAGTGCAACATGAATGTAAAAAATGCAATTTTTTTCCTCACCACAAAATTTGACATAAATTAGTTAAAAAATGGCGGCAAGTTAAGGTACAATACATACCATATAAGATACCCTGGAGTGTCTTCTTTTTCTCAAATGGAAGGCCTTTGTGGGGTTATTTGAACAGTGAAACTGCCCCAAAATGAGACAGAGGCCCATCACATCCATCCAGTGGTGTATCCTGGTTTTGTGCTGCCCTAGGCAGGACAAAACTCAGGGCCCCCCCCACCACCAGCCAGCCCTCTTCCCCCCCGCCCTAAATACACACGCACATTCACACAAGATATGCATACACGAAACACACAACACACACACACACACTCACAGGCACACACACTCACATAACAGACACACACACACCAGACACACACACACACACTAAGCAAGCACTGACACAGTCACACACACATACACACTAACAGACAAACAGTCAGACACACACTCACTAGCAGACACACAAACTCACACACACTAACAAACACACACACACATTAACAGACACACACTCACTGACACACACACTCACAGGCAAAAAACACACTCACACTAACAGACACACACACAGTCAGACACACACACTCACTAGCAGACACACACACACTCACTGACACACAGTCAGACACACACTCACTAGCAGACACACACACATTAACAGACACACACTAACAGACACACACTCACTGACACACAGTCAGAAACACAGTCAGACACACACATACACACTAACAAACAGTCAGACACACACTCACTAGCAGACACACACTAGCAGACACACACACAAACTCACACACACACTAACAAACACACACATTAACAGACACACACTCACTGACACACAGTCAGACACACACATACACACTAACAGACACACACTCACTCACTAGCAGACACACACACTCACACAGTCAGACACACACACACACACTAACAAAACACACACATTAACAGACACACACTCACAGATTTTTTTTTATTCACCCCTCCCCCCAACCTCCTTACCTTTGGGAATGCTGGGGGGAGGGGTTCATTACCTCCCTGGTGGTCCAGTGGTTGCCGGGCTGGGCTGGGCGGCTGGCTGGCGAGGGAGCTCTTCCCCTGAGCGGTCTGCTCAGCTCCCTCGCGCCCCGCAGAGTGAGGCTGGGAGCCGGAATATTACGTCATCTTCCGGCTCCCAGCCTCACTCTGCGGCGTGCGAGGGAGCTGAGCAGACCGCTCAGAGGAAGAGCTCCCTCGCCAGCTGCCCGCCCAGCGCCCAGCATGTCTGTTAGCCACGAGGCTAACAAGGCATTTGCCTGGGCATTTGGGGGCAGCGTTTTTTGCCGCCCCCTGAAAAATGCCACCCAAGGCAAATGCCTTGTTTGCCTTGCGGCTAATATGCCCCTGCATCCATCTATGAAAATTCTAACTATAGAAATAGCTTAGTCTCTTAGATGGCATTGTAGCTTCACAGAATATTGACAAAGGCATACAATGGGGGTGTCATTGTACTCAGCAGATATAGCTGAACAAAAGATAGGGTTTTGTACAGGAATAGCACACACGAGCTTTATGAAATACACATTTAAAAAACCTTGTTATACGTGTATATTTTAAAAAACAGGAAAAACACAATTTTACTACAATATTCAGCAGAGATTGGCAATGACATGTGTACGTAGAAAGTGTCAAAATGACCTTAGGTAAGAAGCCTATGATGTCTATTTTATATTAATATATACTTTTATTTTCTTTGATGGCTATTAAACTTACAAGACAAACATACCAACTTCTAGAACTTGAAACGATAAAGGCTGTGATTCAGAGGTCACAAAGTTGAGCAGTGGATCAGTGCCCAAAAAGCCCTAAGATTACTTTCCCTAGATGGGGAATAACCCACGGAAATATATAGAAAGCAAGAAGTGGGACTAGATAGTCCTGGGCAGGAGAGTAATAGAATGGGGGAGGGATCCCTACCTTTAATAATCCTAACACAGGAATAAAATAAAACAGTAAAAAATAGGGAGACAAAGGTAGTAAGAGAAAAGAGAAAAACAGCCTGACAGGTCCTCTAACTGGGATACAAGTCTAGGCTGCGTGTGATCTAAGCCTAATAGATAGAATAACCAGGTGGACAGAGGTACACTAGCAAAAAACTGGGCTAAAATGAAGAGGTAAAAAGACCTCTATAGGGGGATATCCACCCAAAACAACACCCAGACAAGAACCACACTGGTAATAGTATGTTGTCCCTATTTACCTCGGCACTGTGGAGAACCACTGGTGCCAACCCGAACCCTACTCCCTGCCTGTCCTAGTAGCTAAAATAATTAAATTAAATCAATCCATAAGTGCTACCAAAAGAGTGATAAAATAAATAAATAAAAATAAATAAAGTAAAACTCGACCCACGTTTCGGGGTTACAGCACACCGTCTTCAGGAGCAATGAACTTTAAGATCTCCCTGTATCGATTTAAATACCTGTGGTAGCAATCAACTTCTTAAGTGTTGTCACGTATGTATTTTTGTGCCGTATTTCCTGGCTGTTGATTGGTCTACAACCGCTCAGGCGTTCACATCACGATACCTATGATCGTGACGTGATCGGGGAGGCGTGGTGGCAGGATACGTTTATTGTGCCATACCCACGTGGGGAAAGGGGAGCCTGTAGAATGGGAGTGGTTAGTCTGCGTCATCAAGTGACGACTATGTCATATGAGTGGAGGCCTCCCATTACTGAGAAGCTGAATGAATACCGCAATCCTTAATTGATTGGGTCATTCTCCTACCCAATCATCATCATCTGATAAACAGAGATGATGATAGGGGAATGCAAATTACCATGATCAGTATGTCCAGCAGATGATACTATAACATATCGATACAATAACAAGGGGTATCGTCAGGGGCGTATTAGCCGCGAGGCAAACAAGGCATTTGCCTTGGGCGGCATTTTCCAGGGGGCGCAAAAAACGCCGCCCCCAAATGCCCAGGCAAATGCCTTCTTGGCCGTGCGGCTAACTGACATGTCGGGCGCTGGGCTGGGCGGGCGGCTGGCGAGGGAGCTCTTCCTCTGAGCGGTCTGCTCAGCTCCCTTGCGCGCCGCACAGTGAGGCTGGGAGCCGGAAGATGACGTCATATTCCGGCTCCCAGCCTCACTGTGCAGCGCGCGAGGAAGCTGAGCAGACCGCTCAGAGGAAGAGCTCCCTCGTCAGCCGCCCGCCCAGCCCAACAGCCACTGGACCACCAGAGAGAGAGGGAACCCCCCCTCCCAAAGGTAAGGCAGTTGGGGGGGGGGGTAAATAAAAATAAGATACAAATGTGTTAATGTGAGTGTGTGTATATGTCTGTGAGTGTGTCTGTTAATGTGTGTGTGTTTTGTTAGTGTGTGTGTGCCTGACTGTGTGAGTGTGTGTGAGTGTCTGTGTGCATCTGTTAGTGTGTGTCTGTTAGTGAGTGAGTGTGTGTCTGCTAGTGAGTGAGTGTGTGTCTGACTGTGTGTCAGTGAGTGTGTTTGCCTGAGTGTGTGTGTGTCTGCTAGTGAGTGTGTGTGTGTGTCCGTTAGTGTGTGTGTGTCTGTTATTGTGTCTGTTAATGTGTGTGTTTTGTTAGTGTGTGTGTGCCTGACTGTGTGAGTGTGTGTGAGTGTCTGTGTGCGTCTGTTAGTGTGTGTCTGTTAGTCAGTGAGTGTGTGTCTGTTAGTGTGTGTCTGCTAGTGAGTAAGTGTGTGTCTGACTGTGTGTCAGTGAGTGTGTTTGCCTGTGAGTGTGTGTGTGCGTGTGTCTGCTAGTGTGTGTGTGTGTGTCTGTTAGTGTGTGTGTGTGTGTCTGTTAGTGTGTGTGTGTCTGTTAGTGTGTGTCTGTTAGTGAGTGAGTGTGTGTCTGTTAGTGAGTGTCTGTTAGTGAGTGAGTGTGTGTCTCCTAGTGAGTGAGTGTGTGTCTGTTAGTGTGTATGTGTGTGTCTGACTGTGTGTCAGTGAGTGTGTGTTTGCCTGTGAGTGTGTGTGTGTCTGCTAGTGTGTGTCAGTAAGTGTGTGTCTGTTAGTGTGTGTGTGTGTTTCTGTTAGCGAGTATATGTGTATCTGTCAGTGAATGTGTGTGTGTGTATTTAGAAGGCGGGGGGAAGAGTTGGGGGGGCTGGTGCGGGGAGGGCTGGCGCGGGGGGGCGGGGGGGTTGCCTGAGTTTTGTCCTGCCTAGGGCAGCACAAAACCAGGATACACCACTGGGCCCTTGTAGTACAGATAATTAGTGTAACTCCTTTAAATATACATGGGGATAACCACATACAAACATTACTTCAAAATTCTGTTGGCCTTTTTTCTAAAAAGCTGTGTTCACAGAAAAAAAGCCCTCAGATTGTTTTATTCTTTAAATCCCAATAAGCAAGGTCAACGATGATATTTCTGCTAATGTGCCAATATTTCTATACTGTCTGTTCTTAAGATTAGGGATAATATTATATTATCTCTAGAACTTTGTCCATCCAATGTTTCTATAATTAATGATGATAATAATACATTTACAAATAATTTTCAAATTAAAAGTGCGTAATACTACCCATGCTAGCTATGCATCCAGGTTCCAAACAAAAGTTATGCTTATATATTACTAAACGGAATTCAGTAACTTAGTGAAGGGGTTAAACTGTCTTAGTAGCAATCACAAATACAATAGCTGCCTTCAGTGATTAAACTATTTTCCTAGCAGTTAAACCCTGAAGTTAGTCTCCAGCCCCTTACACCTTCCTTCCTCCTGCCTGCCGAAATAGGCAGGTATATCTACACAAAACAAAAACTATACCAACAGGACACAAACATCACATACAAATTAAACATAGTTAGATATCAAATATATTTTGCCATTTAAAACTACACCTTAAAGGAACACTATAAGGTCAGGAACACAAACATGTATTCCTGACCCTATAGTGTTAAAAACACCATCTAGCCCCCGTGGTCACCCCTTGCCCCCCTAAAGATAGTAAGATTGTAACTTTATTCCAGTCTACTATTACTGGCTCTGCCCCTGATCTGCCACCATCATCAGAAGTGGTGATCTCAGCCAATCACAATGCTTTCACATAGAAAAGCATTGGATTGGTTGAACTTGTCAAGCAAGCAGATCAGGGGCAGAGCCAGCACAAGTCAAACACAGCCCTTGCCAATCAACATCTCCCCATAGAGAGGGATGTATTAGCCGCGAGGCAAACAAGGCATTTGCCTTGGGCGGCATTTTTCAGGGGGCGGCAAAAAACGCCGCCCCCCAAATGCCCAGGGCAAATGCCTAGTTAGCCTTGCGCTAACTGATATGGCCGGGCGGCGCTGGCGGTGGTGGTCGGGCTGGGCAGTGAGGCTGGGAGCCGGAAGATGACGTCATCTTCCAGCTCCCAGCCTCACTCTGCGGCGCGCGAGGGAGCTGAGCAGAACACTCAGAGGAAGTGCTCCCTCGCCTGCCGCCCTCCCGACCACCAGCCAGCGCTGCCCAGCCCGACCGGCAGCCACTGGACCACCAGGGAGAAAGAGGAACCCCCCCCAGCACTCCCAAAGGTAATGAGGCTGGGGGGTTAAATAAAAAGAAAAATGTTTTTTGATGTGAGTGTGTGTTTGTGTCTGACTGTGTGTGTGTTTTGTGTCTGACTGTGTGTGTTTGTGTCTGACTGTGTGTGTGTGTGTGTGTGTGTCTGACTGTGTGTGTGTGTGTTTGTGTCTGACTGTGTGTGTGTGTGCCTGACTGTGTGTGTGTGCCTGACTGTGTGTGTGTGCCTGACTGTGTGTGTGTGTGCCTGACTGTGTGTGTGTGTGTGCCTGACTGTGTGTGACTGTGTGTCTGACTGTGTGTTTGTGTCTGACTGTGTGTGTGTCTGACTGTGTGTGTGTGTGTTTGTGTCTGACTGTGTGTGTGTGTTTGTGTCTGACTGTGTGTGTGTGTCTGACTGTTTGTGTGTGTGTGTATTTAGAAGGTGGGGCAGGGGGAAGGGTTGGGTGGGGGTGGCGTGGGGGGAGGGGGGTGCCTGAGTTTTGTCCTGCCTAGGGCAACACAAAACCAGGATACACCACTGGGTATCGTTATGGAGACAGATTAACAGCTACTACTGTGCACAGATCATTTATCTAGTAAGGCTGCAAGCCATACAAACACCGGATAAGCTAATTATACTGTAACTATGTATCTCTCTTTATCAAAATGTTATCAGTTCATGTGTGGAAACTGAGGAAGGTGGCAATGCTTCAATCTGACCGTTTAGGTCAGTATAATCCCATGACGTTTTTCTGGCCTCAGTATTAGCGGTACAGGGAAGTGAAAAGATATATGTAAAAGTGATATATACATGATAAGTGAACCATTTACATTATTTACAAGTATAGTGCCTGCTATCCAGATAAGGACTTAATAGGGGTGTCCCTACTATTTAATTACATCTAGTATAGAGAGAAATTAGAGAAAGGTGGCAAATGAGAAACCCTCATTTAATCCTGGAGGAGAAAGGGTCTTGAGTCTATAAATCCAATAGGATTCACGCTGTCTCAATTTCTTGTCCCAATCCCTTTCCGTTGGGTTTGTGGGATGTATTCTATTCCCATAAACCGTAATTTATTGGAGGAATTTGAGTGATAAATTTCCAGATGACGTGATATTGGGGTTTCTAAGGGTCTTCTAACCAAATTGACATGTTCCCTAATCCTTAGTTTAAAGGGTCTAAAGGTTTGCCCCACATACTTAATGCCACACGAGCAGGTAAGTAGATAAATAACCCCCTCTGTTCTGCAATTAAAGAATGAGCGGACCGAGAAAATTTCCCTGTTATTACTATCTGTGAACTCTTTAGAGTTTTTGTCGATAAATTTGCATGCGCTGCAATGTCCGCACTTGTATGTCCCCTTAGGTGAGTAATTATTAGTCCCTCTCTTAAGAGGGGCTAAATTACTTTGTACCAAAGTGTCTCGTAGGTTTTTACCTCTCCGTGCAGTCACAGAGGGAAATGTGGTAATTACCTGCTTAATTTGTGGATCAGACGTCAAAATCGGCCAATAGCGCCTAAGTGTACCCATCATGAAATCCCAACCTGCATCATATGTGGCAATGCAGCGGATCAGTTTTTGATCCTGTACTTGTGCATTGTCATCAGTAAGAAGTAAATCACGTTCAGTACCAATGGCTCTGGCATATGCTCTGCGTCGGACCCTGTTCGGATAGCCCTTCTCCTTGAAAGCTTGCCTAAGGTCCTAGGCTTTAATTTTAAAATCTTCTGTAGAAGAGCAATTACGCCTCAATCTTGAGGTTGGGGATGATAACTAGACCAATTTAAGAGACTATTAGTGGCAGTTTGTTTCTTAAAGAGGGTAGTTGAAACTCCTCCTCCAGATTGTAATGTTATGGTTATATCTAGGAAATTGAGTTGTTTACCGCCAATCTCACTAGTCTCAGATTAAGGTCATTCATGTTTAGGAGTCTATTACTCTCCTGCCCAGGACTTTCTAGTCCCACTTTTTGCTTTCTATACAACTTCTAGAAATGTTTCACATTAACCTTTTTATTTTAGTCCTTGAATTTTGTGACCTGTGACTTTCAAAATAAACTGAAATCCTACACATATTAGGTACTCTAAAAATCAAGACACATAAATTAATTAATTTATTAATTTTGTTTCTCCCCTCCCCCAATTATTTTGCATTTTTTTTATAATAAATGAGAATTTATATAAGTATATATCAACATTAAATTAAAGCCCTTTTTGTCCTCCAGCTTCTGAAGCTGCGTCCTTAAGGGGTTAACTGAGATTTGCATGGATCTGGGATAAAAAGGCTTAAAAAAAAGCTAGAAAAACTGCCTAAATTCACTTAATTTTGTTATCTAGGCCTATCTGTCTAGAATTAATTTGCAATCCATAAATTCAACTTGTTAAGCATGCTGATAACAAAAAAGACTGTAAAAGCTGCGACCAATTCGAAATTGGCCAGCAAAAGCCATTTTCCACCTGGTCATGTAATGGAGGAGGAGGAAATCGGCTAATGCTAGACAATTAGGAGGGACAAAAGGAGCTCAAGCTTACACTAGTTATTATGGAGCAAATGCTAGATTTGAAAATCTTAGCAAACTGACTTATTAACTGAAATTGCAGCTGTTCGCAAATACATATGCGAATTGGACACTTGCATCGCTCGAATGGAAGAGGCACCGAAAGTTCGAGTCGACTGGTTCTGGGGATCTAATAGCTCAACGTGTAATTCGGTCTGGTTTACCGAATTTGACGGATTGCAAATGAATTCTAGACAAATGCCATAGACTATAAGCCTAATTCAGTCCCTTGGTATTTTACTAGAGACACTTTAATCAGATTCCCCTTTTTTTACTGTTAAAAAACAATTCATAAATAAACTACGCTATGGATTCACTTTATCTGCCAAATTCAATCAACTAAAAACATTTCAAGACTTATCAACAGTTTCTTTGAACAAAGGAGGGAATTAGCATCCGTTACTGAGGAGTTGATAGTCAATGGAATAATATACAGATGGGGTTTTCCTATCAAGCACCTATTTCGTTATAAAGGAAAACCTTTTACACTTTGGTCTCCAGAGGAGGGACAGGAGTGCCTATCCACATGGCAAGTTCAAGATTTGAAAAAAGCCAAAATCTTAAAATTATAATTGTATTGAAAATTGACAATGAATATTGACAAATGTACTCTGACTGGTCCACTTCCTCCTTGCTACCAGTAACTCTGGAACACTTCAGACTCAGTCATCAAAGTGTTACCGCGAAACTGACGGAGGCCAAGCACAGAGAGATGGACACAGATTTCTTCAGGAAGGAAGAGATCTTTATTCGATTCACCGACCGGGACTCAGAGGGACTTATGTCACCAAAAACAGCAAAGATCTGAGCACTGAATACATAGAGTACATTCCTTATATAGAACTGTAGCTCCTCCCATAATTAGCTACGCCCACACATACCCTTAACCTAATCAATGAATAGAGTCTAAATTCATCCATCCGGTCTAACCACGTGGCTCATCTGAAACAAAGGAGAGGGACGCGTAATTCCAGTTCCTGCATTCCTGCACATGCTCAGTACAGTGATGACAGTATCTTAGCTACGTGTAACTAACTAACTGATACTACAAACACATGTACTTACATATGCCTTGTGGCAATCTTGGCTTGCTAAACTTTTATTTTACTGGAATTCCATCACATTCCCCCCTTTGATGCTTCTGATTTAAAATAATTCCAGATGTTCCAGTCATAGTTTGCTTACACCTCAAGTTGCCATAAACCAGACTAAAATAATTCCAGATGTTCCAATCATAGTTTGCTTACACCTCAAGTTGTCATAAACCAGACTAGACTTTGCGATCCTCTAAAGATACGAACCCCTCAACAGTCCTCTTCCTGCATGTATTCTCCTTGATCTAGAGCTTCATACCTGCAAACAGCCATTACCTTTGCTGCGGCCTTTCTTTCTGCTATACTTTCTATAATGCTCTGCATAGACCTAATTACCAAAGGAATCAGACATGGCAGAAGGAGACACAACATCAAAATCAGTATGACTCCACCTACCAATGCCTTGATTCCTCCAAACTGCTCATACCAACTACCAAACCAACTACTCGGATTATACCCTTTCCATACCTGAGTAGGTACATGTGCTAGCTTAACCATATGGCTAGTAAGCTCAGCTATTGCTTGCCCTTCATCATCTATTTGAAGACAACAATTGCTTAGATTAAACTTCCCACATACACCTCCCTCTACTGCCAATAGGTAATCCAAAGCTAATCTATTCTGGTAGATGGCTGTCCTCATCCTAGTGTTATGCTTCGCTAGGAGATTGAGCGCTTGTGATGTTTCATTGGTAACTATCTCAACTACTGCTTGCAATCTTATAATATGATTAAGCATATATATTGGGGTTCTGTATTCATAAGTACCATCCTCTGCCCACGTAGCTGGCCCATAATAATCTATAATACGCTGGGGAGGCCACTCATCATCTTCCCAGGTACCTATCTCTAGGGGTGCCCTTTTCTTCCTATGATTTACATCATATACTTTAACTCCCAAAGTCTCTCCTGTTTCAGTTGGCAACAAGAAGAAGGATGGTTTGAGAATACCCAATACACAGTCCTGTGGTAACTCCGAATATGCTTTCTTACCACAAATCCAGTACAAATTTGCTGGGGCTTTCCAACTAGATGTAGCAGATAGGTCAAACCATACATCCTTTAAATTGGTATAATTTGCAAACGGATTAGATAGTTCTGAGACATTTGAAGCTGACCACCAAATAGTATCCTTTGTATGGTCATTATAGGCTTTCTGCCCTAAACAAGTCAATTCTCCTACAGATGTATTGAACATTATTCCTTTCCTTGCTATACAAACATAACCTATAATGGAGGTCTTTAATCGCCACTCAGATTTACCTCTAACACTCACTTGATAATCAGATTGAGAAGATATTAGTTGTTCAACTGTCTCAGAACCAGAATACATTACCTTCTTTGCTTCCCAAGGCCATTGGTCTCCCATATTAGTACCTCCACACACATAGCAGTTGGTTACATTAAGACTACCAGCAATGCTCTCAGCTAGGTCTATGAATAAGTTTTTGGCATTGACAAACTTATCTATAAATAGCTCTGGGTCCTTGATAAGTATATGGACTGGGTTACACTCCATAGACTTACAATATGGCTTGATAGGCAATCTAGTGATAATCATATCCTTATCTACTGTCTGTCCCCAGGTTGCCCATCCCACACAGGACCAATACAGACAATAATTGTAGTCTTTATTTAGGCAGTTTGGATCTATATACTTATGCTTATTACTAGGACAAATATACTTATCATTAGACCCATACGTTCTTTCCCATTTAAGACCACTACATACATTCCATGGCTTCCTACTACCTGATATCGCCTTACATGCATCAAATAGCAAAACACCTGGAGAATGTACGCTTTCTAGTACAGTCTTATTTATCAGGTTCCCTTGTGCGTTCTCATTCCAAATAGTCAACCAAATTGTACAGGGCTGATACTCAGGATTAAAACACCTAGGTTCTCCTGCTCCTATATGGCATACACTATAATCTGTACCTAGGTATCTACACTTTGATACATGTCCTGTTCACTCATATTGCAAATGCCAAATAAGGGTCTGGGTAATACGATTGCCTGTTTTCGTAGTCTTAATGCAAACCTCGCAGCCTGGTGTGTCGGTACCTCTACCTTCCTGAATAATTAAAAACACACATATATACATCATCAAACACATTACTCCTGACATTTTCTTCCTAATTCTTCGACCGTGCGACGGCACCTCAGCTTCCAGGCGTGTGAGGGCTGCGGGGAATGGAGTCCTTCTGATCCTCACTGTTCTTCACAGAGGATTCCTATGGCTTAAACGTTGGTAGGTGGTCAGGCTTTATTGTGGCCGTCAAAACACCTACTTGTAGATCTTTGTTGATGTTCCCTTGTAACAATACTCCTCGCAAAAAACACTTTTAATCTAACTGGGTCACTCGCTTCAACCGGATCTTGCAGGGATTCTCAGGATCTTGAGTAGCTTGCCAAGAATCTGCTGCTGGTTTAACCCTGGAGTGATGAATCCACGGAGTCATCTCTGACACCTTTATAGCTGTTGGAGTAGACAAAAGAACAGCATAAGGACCCCTCCACTTTGGCCCCAACGGTACACTGTTCAACTCCTTTATCCAAACTTGGTCTCCTGGATGGTAAGAATGGACAGGTGGATAAATATTTACAGGTAACCTATCTTGTACTCATTTCTGTACCTCCTCCATAGTTTTACCCAACTCTACAACCTGCCGCCTGGTAATTCCTTCTCCCAACTGACTCAAGTCCCCCCTTAAGTTACTAAGTATGGGTGGTGGACGCCCATACATAATTTCAAAGGGTGATAGACCTAACTTTCTGGTAGGTGTACTACGAATGCGCAACAGAGCTATTGGCAAAAGAACATTCCACTTGAGTTGGGTTTCTTGACACATTTTTGCCAGCTGGGTCTTAATGGTTCTGTTCATCCTTTCCACTTTCCCAGAACTCTGAGGCCTATGTGCTGTATGAAGTTTCCACTTAATACCAAGCATATGAGTCAGTTGTTGTAGGCACTGATGGACAAAAGCTGGACCATTATCTGATCCTATAGAACACAGTAGTCCATATCGGGTTATTATTTCTCGCAACAGAAATCGCACAACTTCTCCTTCTTTCTCTGTACGAGTTGGACATGCCTCTACCCATCCTGAGTAGGTACACACAGCTACTAGTAGGTAATGATGTCCGCCGGATTTGGGCATTACCGTGTAGTCTATTTGGAGATCGGACATAGGAAGTCCTCCCATGTACTGGACTCCCGGTGGTTTCACTGGACCTTGCCTTGCGTTGTTCTTGGCACATGACACGCATCTTCGAACAATGGCTTGAGTCAAGTTGGACAATCTTGGTATGTAGAAATGCTTCCTAAGAGATTCTTCCATACTATCTCTTCCAGAATGTGTCCCATTATGATAATTCTGGACAATTTCTACAGCTAGCGATGCTGGAATAACTATTCTTCCATCTTCTAACTGATACCAATTATTCTCCAAATATTTCCCAGCTTCAGTCTTTAACCACTCTACTTCTTGAGCTGTATAAACTGGAGTCCACTGGGACAGAGGGGTCAGTATAAGAGCTGCTACACACTCCACATATTTTTTGTCCGGATTCAGCGGCACGCTTAGCTGCACTATCTGCCATCCGATTTCCTTTCACCACATCACCATCACCTTTCAGATGTGCTCGACAATGTATGATACCAACTTCCTTCGGCTCCCATACAGCTTCCAATAGTTGGAATATCTCAGCTGCGTACTTGATTTCTTTTCCTTCTGAGGTCAGTAATCCTCTTTCTTTATACAAAGCTCCATGGGCATGAGTGGTTAAAAATGCGTACTTTGAGTCTGTGTAGATATTTACTTTCAACCCTTCAGCCAATTGCAAAGCCCGTGTAAGTGCGATTAATTCTGCCTTCTGTGCTGATGTTCCTTTTGACAATGGCCGCGCTTCTATCACCTTGTCTATAGTTGTCACTGCATATCCGGCATAGCGAATACCTTCTTTCACGTAACTACTGCCGTCTGTGTAATACTGAACATCGGGGTTCTGGATGGGAAAATCATGAAGGTCCGTGTAATGGATCACCTGGCACCCCGACTGGGTACCTCCGTTGAAAGATGCTCCTAGCGCTTCCAGAGGACTCCAAGCA